CGTCCTTTACTGTTTGGTACAAACGGTCTGCACAGAGCAATGGATTGAATAGTACAGTCCTTTCACACTCAGCCTAAGCAATTAATAATTTTACGCTCTGCGTAGAGGACCACCGGTTTAATCAGCGTCTTTTAGAGAGTCGACTTCGTGCGACGGCGAATTTTATTGGACCGAAGCGTCCTCCGGAGTCCAAATTAGGCACGATTCCCTGCCATAATGTGTCTTTGTATTTCTCTGTTGGTATCATTTTCGGCGGCCACCAGTGAGCTCGGCATACACGAACTCGTCGATCGTCAACGTCAATCTTAACTCTGGGTTACATTGTCTTCCCTAGAACCTCGTCCATGTATTTCGTCTTCGATGTGTTGATGGAAATCGTCTCTAAGTTCCGTGCCATGATGTCGATGTCATCGGCGAAGCCAAGAAGCTTAATGGGCTTCCTGAAGATCGTGCCACACGTGTCTATCCCAGCTCTTCTCAGGAAAGTAAAGCCGTTGGTCCCCGGTTCATGAGTTGATGGGTCGATATGTAGGGTCCAGATGTGGGAGCTGCCTCCCTGGCGTCAGTAGCATTGGAAATCAAATCAAGGAAAAAAATCAAAAAAATAAATGCATTTAATGTAATACAAGCATCCATCCAATCTCTACGGTATTATCTCGTGTTTTCGGTGGAGGAGCTTCCGCATGTTTCCGGTGGAGATTTCCGATGATGCCTACGGAGGTTTTACGGAATTTCGACGGAGTTGTTCCACGTTCTCGGCGGAGCGGGTTTTGCGTGATTTCGATGTTGGCAGTGGAAGTTCTGGAGGGAGCTTATGCAGGATTTCGTTGCTGCCGGAGGAGGTTGCAGGGAATTTCTCGTGAATTCTCTACTCCACCGAAATCGTGCAGAGCGACGAGTTTTCTTTTCCTGTTGTGTTTGTTTATCATCGCATCGATGCATGTAGAGGTGTCACAAAAAAAGCGCATACTTTGTTTTGATGTTCACATCCCACAGAATGGTTGATGCAAACGATGGAAATTCAATACATTTTTTTTTTAATTAAATGCATATTGAATCTGTATTTCAACTGTGAGACGCCCCTAGGTCTGTGCCGATATGATTTTCGTCACAAGGATTTATTATGGAAATCATTAATTGTTCAATGAAACATGTCTATATATCTTACCCTGTGCTCTTGGTCCTTGCCCTCCCCGGAACCGCCCGAAAGCATTACATCATGGGAGGGGGCCGGTTGCGCTATGACGCACAGTGGGGCCGTTCTGAAAAAAGACGGTCAAAAGTCTTTTCTCATTATTTTTAACGTTTTCGAGGGTAGGTTTCTTCGGAGAAGTTGCTGAGAATGGCAATCCGCTCCTTTTGAAATAAACACCGGATTTAATATTAAGTGGGTATTACACTTAGAAAAACTAACTTTTTCTACAAACGAGATAGACATATGACGTCTTGAGCAAAGTTGTAGATCTAATCATTTCATGAAACTTTGCCGAAGACACCAAATTTCTATATCTTCAAGCTAATGAGATATAATGATTTTTCTTTCAGGAGTACCTTAAAAGTGGTTTTTTAAGTTGAATCATATTTTAATCAAGTTTGACCGGTTCACTATCAGTGTTGGAAAAGTTCACCAAAACTCACTGTGACTCGCGAACTTTTCCCTTGGTGAACTTCGTGAAATATCGCGATTTTTTCCAACGCTGTTCACTATATTCGAGAAAGTTTTAGATATCATCAAAATACATAACTTTTTTCAAGACGTCAACAACATTTATTGACTATTGTTTGCTGTACTGTGATTTTGAAGGAAAAAATCATCAATTTTAGAAAAAAAAAAAATAAAAAAAATGTGAATGTTTGTGAAATGACACTAAGCGTCATTGAGTTTGTTATAACTTTGAGCATACGTGTAGAAAAAATTAGCTTCGGGAACCTTCAGCAACAAAATTTATACAGCTATTTGATACAGCAGTTTTTATCATATATTCTACATTATTCTCATATAGTTCTTTGTGTAAATAGATCTAACCATACATACATGCACCGTACGTTATTCAATTTTTATTGATGAGGATGGCCTTTGAAAACTGAAGATTTTGAAAGAAATTGAAGATACAAATTTTTTATTTAACTGATATTCTTAATGTACTAAAAGCCTTTGAGCTTGAATCAATCTTTTATACGACGGGTAAATCTGTGCCACATTGCATTGCCTTGTTGTATTGCGTAATAAGGTCCATTGGTCCTTAGAGAAGTCCCCATCAATAAATAAAGACAAACCTTCATCTTCAGTCATAGATCGCTCACATTTGGAATCATTGTGTGACTTCCAAGACTGTCGAATTTGTGTTGCTCTAGTGGGAGTTGTTTGCAATGCTTCATGAACCAACTTAGCCGCATCCTCCATTCCATCAGCACGTGCCTTCATTTCCGTTGCATAAGCCAGTTCATATTTCACATTTTCGCGGTTGTCTTTCGAAATTCCAACTAATTTTGAAAACACGTGATCCCGGACATGACACAATTTTAATTCGCGAGATTTGCCTAATTTATCCTTCCATACTACGAACAATTCACTCCGATCCAGATGATAGGAACTCATTTTGCAAAGAAACTCAAACCGAAGAAAGAATAAACACTTAAACCGCAAGCAAACGCAAACTGAAATATTCACTTTGACAGCAAGCTCATGCTTGATCCTATATGACCATATTATATCGAGGATCAAAGTAGGCTGTACGTGTGGTAAAGCAAGAGATTTCTACATAAACATAAAGGAGAGACAGATGAGAATGTTTATTCGTGTTGGTAACTAATACTTAAACACATCTTCGATGGGCATTTTTTTTTATTAAAAAATGTAGAACAAGCAATGCACCAGTAATAAATTGTACAAGAATGATATTGCCTTTAACATAAGATATATTATATCAATAAATGTTGTTGACGTCTTCAGAAAAGTTATGTATTTTGATGATATCTAAAACTTTCTCGAATATAGTGAACCAGTCAAACTTGATTAAAATATGATTTAACTTAAAAAACCTCGTAAAAAACCACTTTTAAGGTACTCCTGAAAGAAAAATCATTATATCTCATTAGTTTGAAGATAAAGAAATTTGGTGTCTTCGGCAAAGTTTCATGAAATAATTAGATCTACAACTTTTCTGAAGACGTCATATGTCTATCTCGTTTGTATAATAAGTTAGTTTTTCTAAGTGTAATACCCCCTTAATATTAAACCCGGTGTTTGTTTCAATAGGAGCGGATCGCCATTCTCAGCAACTTCTCCGAAAAAACCTACCCTCGAAAACGTCAAAAACGATGAGAAAAGACTTTTGACCGTCTTTTTTCAGAACGGCCCCACTGTGTGACGCATCACGCTAGTGGTGTGCCACAGACGTGACACTCGCTACTGCACAGTGAGTAGCTGTGCAGGGCCTTCCTCTTATCGTTCGCTGTTAATTGTTCGCCTGAGTTCTAGAGCAGACGTGATAGCAAGCCAACTGTCCACGGCGGGACAGGACAGATGTGGCTGCGTACCAGCTGCGTGTGCTGCGACTTGGTCAGAGTCGTCTACACTCTAAGAACCCGGTGTCACTCCTGCCTTTGCACAACGAGGGTTTGTGCAGGGCTTATCGACCTCCTGGGACAAGCTGGATGGGGCTCCAGCGTCCTTACTCTGCAATAGTTCGTTTAGCCGCAATATCTCTCCCTTGGGCTCGATAATTAACGTTTCCAGGGCACACCACGAGGAGGCGAACTACTTCATGCCCCAAGACGTGTAAGAACCACCCAATGTGCACTAAAGTCTTTTTTACACGGTTTTTCACGCGTTTTTTTTACACGGTTGGTGGCGCTGAGTCGCAATTTACACGGTACGTTTGTCACGATTTCTCGATAACGGATACAACCAATCGACTTGATTCGAATTACATTATCCGTTTCAAGCCATAGGTAATCAAAAAAAAATCACAATTTTTGGTGTAAGCACAGAAATTTTTCAAATATGTCTATATGGGGCATAGCATGCTCTAATTACGAATGGCTTCAAAATTAAATTTTATAAAAATAGTTTTGCATGTGGAAAATCGAAAACATGGTAGTTTTTTTTTTCTTTACACGGTGCATATCCTCCGTGTAAAAAACGACTTGAGTGAAACACGATTTATGTCGTGTTTATGGAATCCATGAGTGCCTTATGAAATCAGAATTGTCCAGGATCATAAGTCATATATTTCCACAGACAAACAGACATAGCACATTGCATATTTCTCACTGTTAAACATCGTCGCTAAAACACTCCCGCCATCTGTTGAGTACATTTTGACGGGTAGTACACACTAATCCAGGCCTCCGTCGTTCGGTAAATTTTGAACTACAGAACTGTTCGGTAAATGTTTAAAAATCAGCGAAAAATCCAATTTTTAAAAATTTATCCCGAGCTTGTACAGAAGTTGTTCAGTTTACCCCATTTATTGATGAAAAATAAAATTTATAAATTTTCTTGATTTCTCACGTGTAACGGTCATTTAAAAATTTTACCGAGTTGTTCTGCTGTTCAAAAACCCGGTAAATTCATACCGACTTCGGTGATCAGAATTAAGTGTATACGCTCCCCTAATAAAAAATAACCATAAACGAACGATAACCCAAATCATTGAACTATTCCACAAATGGTTTGGATGATACCCAGAACACGTCGTTAAGCAAATTAACCATACAATTTTTATTAGGGTCAACAGATGGCAATAATGTGTAGACGTCAAACACAGAGGAATTGAGTATGCGCGCCGCAGGTGGTGGTACTACCAACTAAGAAAAATAAATTTACCGTTAAATGCTTGTTCGATGAACAACTTGAAACTGCTATATCTGTTTTTCTATGATATGGCTAGAGTCGGTGTATAATTATACACCGACTCTAGATATGGCAACCCCCATCTGCAATCTACAACCCATCCACGTACTCAAAGTTAATCATCAAACTCTCCCTCCCCTAGGAAATCTCTACGGTCCGCTAGCGGTCTGTCACTCGAGCACCACCGCCGCCAGCGCCAACTTCCGCCAGATCATCCAGAACCAGTTGGACGACATCGAGAAGGCCGGCACATACAAGCGGGAACGCATCATCGTCTCCCCCCAGGCGACGTCCATCAGCGTGGAAGGTTCGCAGGGCAAGATCCTCAACTTTTGCGCCAACAACTACCTTGGATTGGCTGTAAGTATTGTCCGATTCAGTTCGGTTGGTGAGCTAACTTTTGAGCATTTTCTATTTCAGTCAAACGAACAGGTGGTGAACTGCGCCAAGAAGAGCCTGGACGAATACGGTGCCGGCCTGAGTTCGGTTCGGTTCATCTGCGGTACCCAGGCTATCCACAAGCAGCTGGAGAAGAAGCTATCGGAGTTTCACCAGCGAGAGGATACCATTCTGTACGCATCGTGTTTCGACGCCAATGCGGGGATTTTCGAGGCGGTGCTGACTCCGGATGATGCCGTATTTTCCGACGAACTGAACCATGCTTCGATCATTGACGGAATTCGGCTGTGCAAAGCGAAGAAGGCACGGTATCTGCACCGGAACATGGCGGACTTGGAGGAGAAGTTGAAATCGAGCGATGCGCGCATTAAGATGATCGTCACGGACGGAGTGTTTTCGATGGACGGAAATGTGGCTCCGTTGCCGGAGATTTTCGAACTTGCGGACAAGTACAACGCGTTGACCTTTGTAGATGACTGTCACGCGACTGGGTTCTTCGGGGCAACCGGTCGGGGAACGGAGGAATTCTATGGAATGCTCGGACGATGCGATATCATCAATTCCACGTTGGGTAAGGCGCTCGGTGGAGCAGCTGGAGGTTATACCACGGGTCCGAAGGAGCTGGTGGATCTGCTGAGACAAAAGTCCCGTCCGTATCTGTTCTCGAACTCGCTGCCGCCTCCAGTGGTGGCCAGTGCCATGAAGGTGATTGAAATGCTGATGGAATCCGCCAAGCTGACGGCACGCGTGCAGAGCAATACCAAGCGATTCCGCGATGCCATGACCAAAGCCGGCTTCACGATCTCCGGAATGGATCATCCCATCAGTCCGGTGATGCTGGGCGATGCTCGATTAGCTTCGGCGTTTGCGGATGAAATGCTCAAGCGAGGCATCTACGTAATCGGATTTAGCTACCCGGTTGTGCCGAAGGGTAAAGCTCGCATTCGGGTCCAACTTTCGGCGGCCCACACTGATGAAGAAATCGACCGAGCCGTGGCCGCTTTCGTCGAAGTAGGAAAACAGCTTGGTGTGGTTTCCTGAATAACCCTACAACAATTTTGACAGCCAAATAAACTAAAGGATTTCTTTCCTAAATCTGACCACTTCCCGACTTGCCTTGAATACCATGAAACACTTTAATTAATGGTCTTAATTAACAGATAAATTACCCGGAATTTTATCTCGTGTATGAACGAAATGAAAATCAAATAACTGAAACTCAAAAACACGTGCTGCTAATGATTACACCTAGCGTTGGTTTGGAATCCTCATTTTCAAAATATAACCCACTCAGTAGTACCCCAAAACCTATCGCACCGACGCCGCCACTATACCAACTATGTATCCTGTTGCACTTCATTCGGACAGTACGGCTTGATTAGATTTTCGGAAAACTTTTTCACATTCTCCGCACCACGCACCTCCTTGTCCAGCAGGGGCAGTTTCACCACGTGGAAGTCCTCGTATAAATCGGCAATCTGGTCCAGATACTTCTCCTGCACCTTGTAGCGAGCGGAACACATCGCACAAGGAGCCTGACCCTCTCGGCGGAACAGCAACTGATTCACGATAATGTTGTGCGTGTCAATGCCGCACTTGGTCAGTTCCTGGACCAACCGTTCCGTTTCGTACAACGACAGAAACTCTGCTATACACACACAGACGAATGTTGTTTGATCCTAAAATAACACGCAATTCCATCACAACCCTCCCATTCATTCAATGCTTCGCCACTGCACTTACCGGATTTCTAAACTGTTCGTTAACCTGGCGAATAATGGTCAACATTTCCTCTAGCTTGCTCGTCAAAGTATCAGCATTAAAATCCTGCATTCCAAAGAGCGATCCCATTTGCGAAATGAACGGAGCTAATTTCATCTTCAACCTCAGCAGCTTGCCCAATCCTTTCTCCACCACTTGTGGGAAGGACAGCAATCGCAGCGTGTGTCCCGTTGGAGCCGTGTCGAACACCACCACCGAAAAATTCATCGCTTTTACTAATCTGCAAACAAACAACTCACAATTAGTAACATCCCTAAGCTCCTTTTCCACCAAATACCAATCGTCAACTCACTTCATCACCTCGGCGTAGCTCATCGCCTCATCAATCCCCGGCAGGGCTCCGATGATCTCCTGGAAAACACCCTTGCTCAGCTTCATCGCCGAATTCTCCCCCTCGAAGTACTCATCTGGAAGCTCGTTCAGGCCCACGTTCGGATCGATCTCCATGGCAAACAGATTGTCGAACCCATTCACCTTGCTCGGCACCTTCGTAAACTTCTGATCGAACGCATCCGATATGTTGTGTGCCGGATCGGTCGATATGATCAGGACCGAGGGGCGTACCTTCGCCAGCTGAATGGCCAAGCTGCAACTGTTTAAACCAAACTTTCAATCATTGCAAATCAATCAATCCCCATATGAGACAACAAACCTGCAGGTTGTTTTGCCAACACCACCCTTTCCACCGACGAAGATCCACTTGAGCGTTTCCTGGTCGATGATGTTCTCCAGGTTCGGGGCGAGAGGCTCGTAATCTGCGTCCATTTTGCTGGGCGGAGCTCCTTAGGGAATAACTAATCATGTGATCAATGGATTATTGCTAAAATTGAGAAATTTCCACAAATTGTACCTTATTAAACCTATCACACGTCTGCTGCAGAGTTCGGTCCGGGACAAAATTTCACTAATTTCAGTCATGCAATCTGTCAAAAGTCGGGATTCGTTCGGGACGTCTTCATATCCCCTATGAAAGCGGTATCGACGCTTGTGCCCAGCAACTATGATATTATATGAAAATGGCTGCGTCCCGAATTGGTAATTTATGGTGAGTAATGGGCAATTAACCTTTGGCTCGGGTGTTTTTTTTTATTTTTTATACGAGATTTTCAGCTGAAGGCATCACTGGTCCGGTTTCTCAAAGATGGATAAATATTGCGCATTTTCCCCAAATCAAATATTACGTAATGCAAAAAAAAATCACATACCCCCCTAAAAAACCATAGGTAGAATCAAAAGTTTCCATTCTAGTCGAAATTCTAGTACTAAACTATGTTTGTTTTGATTCGCTTTGAAAGTTTTACAGATAAAATGAGGGGTTTGTGGATTTTCCTATGTTTCGAGGCGTGCATCGATTAACTTGGGACCGAAGAGAGTACTAGGAGCTGAGCCAAAAAGTTGAGCTCATTTCTTCGGGACCTTCTGGTCTTAGAGTTACCTCTATCCCTAATAAAAATTGTATGGTTAATTTGCTTAACGACGTGTTCTGGGTATCATCCAAACCATTTGTGGAATAGTTCAATGATTTGGGTTATCGTTCGTTTATGATTATTTTTTATTAGGGATGTCAGTACGTTCATCGATGTACTTGGGACCGATAGTGTTAGCCAATTTAAAATCGTAAGTTTGCACTGGTTGCCAATATTGGTATCATACGAGGTATCATATTTTTTTATTTTTTTGGTTTATTTTTATTATCCAGCTTTCCATGCTCGGTAATGGTGGCCTGTTTGTATGAATAAATGTATCCTTCACTGTGCTTTTTGACACTATCTGGATGTTCGAATTTCAACCCCTTCCCTTTCCCTCTCCCAGGAACAGAAGAAAATGGAACAACATACGCCCTCCAGTTAGTGTCAAAAAGTACAGTAAAGGATACATTTATTCATACAAACAGGCCGCCATTACCGAGCATGGAAAGCTGGATAATTTGAATATGATTTTGTGTATCTCATTTACTGGTAGCCTTAGCGGAAGTACTCCAGGTCCAAGTGAAATACAACATGACGCTTCGTAACAAACGGTTATGCTGGATCTAATAGAAATTTGCGATCGGTCTTGGCAGGTTTCGTTGAGTTTATGGTTCTGATGCGAGGTTTATCACCATGACTAATCATAGATGATAGTCCACGGACGTACCGTTGCATATTTGCCAAGCTGCGCACCGGACGCTACTAATAGTATTGTCTGATCCTCCGATTCTCGCTCTGGATGTTACACCGGATCGGCTAGAGGAAAGCTTTCCAGGTAAAACCACCGTCAATGGCATCCATATTGACTTCGATGGTGTTAACACCGAAAATACTGCAAATTGCTTCGTATTTTTCAGGAACTATTCTAGATCTGCAACAAATGTCTACCTTTAATTAATCCACCTTTAAAACCAGAAAGAAACTTACCTTGTAGCTCCAGTTGCACATTCCGAAATAGGTCACTATTGGCCAAACCAGATTCCATTGCTTTCTCGTATACTCCATTGACCCCTGAACCTGCGAATAAATTTTAAATATTATCTGTTTCTTTGGTAACAAAACACGCCGTAAACGACGCAGAAATCATCGCCATACAAATTCCTATGGCGACGATTTCTGCGTCGTTTTCGGCGTGTTTTGTTTCCAAAGAAACAGATAATAAATAATAAGTAAATAGAAAAACATCAACTTTTTATTTGGAATTTAAGCTTGGAAATCGAGCAAACTGAATTTGTTTTCCCGGTCAAATGTTTTTATTTACGTGTGATGGCTGTGGTGCACGAAAAAATGAAACAACCCAACATTTATCAATGGTATTTTTGACAGTTAAACAATTTTCATTTTGACAATATGCTTTTTTAAAATAACGAGTAGAAATTGAAAGAAAAACTTTTGAAATAAAAATGTTGCTTTCATTTTAAATATTGTCATAGTTGAAACTACAGAAGTTGGGAGACTTTTAATTTGAAAATGCATTATTTTTAAATGAACAATTTTTATTTTTTGTGTGTAATTATTTGACATTTTATTCTATTTCATTTGTTTTAAGAAATTAAATTTGTAACCTATTATATCAGGTTCCGTATTTTATTCGTATTCATTTATAAAAAAAAAACAATCATTCCCTTAACAAAATTAATTATACCTTGATGATGGAAATGAGGTGCGGTTCTCGGTGTGATATGCGTGCAGGGAACGATACTATCCATTTTTCCAGGGTTGTTCCCCACGTATATTTTTGTTTGCTGTTGACGATCCGGTTATTTCCATTTCCATCTTTATTTCATTTCCATCTTTATTCCATTTCCATCTTTATTCCATTTCTATCTTTATTCCATTTCCATCTTTATTCCATTTCCATCTTAATTCCATTTCCATCTTTATTCTTCCAGTATCACATAATCACACGTCCCATTACTCTCGCTCTCCCCAGTCCCATCCTTCACCTCTCCTTTAGCCCGCTTTACACTCTCCATCCTCTCTCCACAAGTTCAGCCCTCTCTACATCCAGGGGCAAGACCCTACAGTGGCGGTCTCGGTGGCGGTGGCCAGCAAGATCTTCAAGGAATGACTCAATTTTTGATGAAATGAATGTCAAATGTACACTTAAAACCAAAAACAGTCAAAATCAAAAATAAACACTAAGTATAAGCAACAATCAATACGAAACTAACGATTTTAAATTGGCTCACCACTTTAGTAGCCTATTGGTCCCAAGCAAACGATTAACGTACCCTACCCTATTACTACACTATGTTTGTTTTGATTCGCTATGAAAGTTTGACAGATCCACATAACATTTATAAAACGATCCACACATAAATTGCAAACTATGTGTATCCCAAATGAACGTCATGTGTAATGGCACATCGCAAAAATTATGGCACATAACAAAAATTATGAATACGGTACACTGTTTTTAATATGTTGAGGATGCATGTTCGGATTTTCCAGAGGTTCAATTGCATATTTTAAAAGGTGAATATGATGAAATTTTTCTTGAAATTCTTGAAACGTATGTATAATTATAATATTTCAAGGAACAGCTGAAATCTAGACGGCGGGAAATGTAGCTGCTGCCCGGTCAAAACACGAAACCGAAGCACTGCATCAAAACGCACCAGAAGCGGATCATTGGCGAGCAGTACAAATTGAATGGGAATCAACAAGCCGGATGTTTGATTTGTCCTCACATCATCAGCGGCATGCGATCGGTATACTTCTATCTGAAAAGTGCAGTTGCTGAAACAGGACATCACTGAAAACGCTAAGCTAGTATCATCCGGAGAGTTTGGAAATGCTGCTAAATCAATTAGGTACATACTGAATCGATTGCCAATTCCCGAACACAAAATCATCTGCTGTAAAGGAGCTCGGATGCTTTCCATGAACGATAATGTTTTCATTGCAGCGAGCATTGTGGTGTATTAATTGATTACCTGTAACAAACAAGAGGAAATATATGGTGTAGTTTTGAATTTCGAGTATAATACTGTTAAAAATAAATCATCCTGTTAAAAAATAAAACCCGAAAATTTCAAAATAATCGACAATAAAAAGTATGAATAGAAAATTAAATCCATCTTTCTCTAGCCATAATGTTTATGTGTGACCACACATAAAAATCATTGAATATCGATAGAAAGCAATTTATGCATCTCACACATAACTTTATTTGTGCAATCACATTGCACAAATCTATGTGTGTGGCACATAAACGAAATATGCACAATTTTATCAGTGTATAGAAACACGAGAATTGTTACAACATGGAATCTATTTTCTTGTATTTTGACGGTCGACTGGGTCACCCATAATGAAATAGTTTTTGCACGGTCGTTTCCAAAATAGAAGAAGAACACTTCTTCTTCTTGTTGTTCGCATTTCAAGCTTATTGCTTAGCGCATATTAGCTTATTGCGTGCTCTCAACTTAGTGTTCTAAATACACTTCCACAGTTATTAATTGCCAATACCAATGCATGAATTTGTATATTGTGTGGCATGCACAATGATACTCTATGCCCAGGGAAGTCGAGAAAATTTCCAATCCGAAAGATTGCCTCGATCGAACCCGCCACCTCCGGCTTGGTAATACCAACAATCAATACGAAACTAACGATCACCACTTTGAGCCAATTTAAAATCGTTAGTTTCGTATTGATTGTTGGTAATACCGTGCCTTTGCTTACTAGGCTATGAGGCCCCACGAAGAAGAACATGTCACATACAAAAAGAAGCCAGTTGCCTTCTCTTCCTCTTAGGTTTGCTCCGTTAAACATCTGGACTTGACATTTGGAGAAAAAAAAAATCGCACAAAAACAGGTTGCTGTTCTAGTTCTAGCGTGCATTCAATATTATGCATTTCCCACCAAACTGGACAAATAAGCGCGTTTTCACTTATTAAAAAGTGTGATAAAAGTGCACGTTTACGTTAAATCGTTTGGGTGTCTTCGGCGAGGTCTTCGGTGCAATTATTCCTTACACTGTAACTGGCAAGTACCCATTAATGGGTATAAAAGTACCCAATATTAGTAAGTATAAGAAGCTGTCAAATAATGGGTATTTGAATATTTTCGAAAATGGGTTCTTTTGTACCCATCTTTTTTACCTCTTCAGGGAAGAAAAATGAGTATTATTTCACCCATTATTGGGTGAAAATTATCTTAATCAATAGTGAATATTGTCTAACACAAAGCATCTTACGAGGCCTTCAAAATGGATTTTTTATGCTATCTGTGCCTAATAAAATGAGTATTGAAACGTAAGTATTTATTTGGAATATATCTAGGCGCTGTACATTATGAAATTCAGATGAAATTTAATGATTTTCAATTGCTTAATTTCAGATATACAAGGAAGTGGCCGAGCACAAAGTGTTCCAGGAATGGATGGCAAGAAGGAACTTCGGAAGCAAAAGCAACACATTGCACAGCAGGGACAGTGGATGCCAAGTAGGAAAGCGGTATGATCTTTCTAGGAGCACAAGAAGACCTTGCGGATGTAAGTGGCTGATGTATGAACCTCGCTGGAAGCGGCAATCATTATGCATTATTACAATGATTATTATCTAAATTAATAAAAACAAGTTTTTAATGTTAATGTTTCCGACATTTCAAAGAAATATGTGAAAAATCAAATTAAAATTAATTTCTAAATAGCTCAATCATCAAAAATGTATACTTTTTACCCATTTTCTAAAACTTTTCATTTCTGAAAATGGGTAAAAAGTACCCGATGATTTGACGTACAAGCTCTTTACCCATTATTGGGTAAAGACGTTTTACCCATTTTATGAGTTTACCTACTTTACTTCGAATTGGGCACTTTTTCACCCATTAATGGGTACTTGCCAGTTACAGTGTATGGAGTAAGGAATAAGTGCACCGAAGACAACAAAACGATTTGACGTTAACGTGCACTTTTATCACACTTTTTGAATTTTTGGAGTAGTCCAGTTTTAGTTGCAACTAACAATAATGAGCGAGATAATGAGCAACTTCAGTTACTAAGAGTTACTCAAAATTAACTCCAATATTAGTCATGATCAAAAGCTGACTTACCCGTAGGTCTCACCCTTTGGATTTTTCGGTGCCCAAAATTGACCTTTCTGGCGTTTTTAACACGCACACTTGTGTAATCCTATTTTCAAGTGCAAAATTTGTTATCCTCTCTTTCGCTTCAGCCAAAAATGTTGGTTTGTTATTGTTATCCTCACTTTCAGACCATCAATACTCGTGCGCCTATGCCATTCTAAAATGGACTATGACCGACAATATTGCTGATTGCATCTGAAATTGTACTGCCCCAAAAATGAGAAAAAGTGTGATAAAAGTACACGTTTTCGTCAAATCGTTTTTGTGTCTTCGTTTCTTTGCGTGTAGGGAAGGCAAAAATTGCGCACTGCATACCACCCTCGAAAGATCCCGTCTCACATTTGCTGGGCACAAATTGAAGCCGGGCACATTCACCAGTACCACCACCTGCGGCCGTCCGTCGCTCGGCTTTTCTCCCTGGCACGAGTTCTGACGGTTCCATTCGTTAGCTTTTCGTTCATTCAAATCCTATCTGCGGTCGAGTGTGTACACACGAACCTCGGTTGTTGCGCGCGCTGCGAAGAAGTTCGTTGGTTGAAGTTCGGTGTTGATCGCGAGTAGAAGAAAAAAACTCGTTTCAAGGATACTAGTTACTGGTAGATGAAGAAAACCTTCAAATTGTAGATTTATCTTATTTTATAGTGCAGCAGACCTTTTGGTTAATTAAGTTTTTAGTCTCGGTGATTCGGTGAAAATAAGTGGGTGAAATTGATGGATGCGACTTCCGAAAGGAAGCATTCGTTTGTAAGTATTTTCTACGACTTTTTTTTTTTTTTTTTTTTTTTTCCTGATAAGATGCGGCAAATCGATCCAGTAACGGACGTTTTCGTGGTGACCTGAAGAACAAGAATAATAACAGAACATGAGAGAGTGAGGTTATAATATAATGCCTTCTTGTTGGATGGCAGTTAAAGGGCTCGAACGGTGCATGAGAAGAGAGAGAGTTTATCCCAAGAAAGAAGTTCAAACTGTGTAAATATTGAAGGAAGAGAAGAAACACAAGAGTTTTTTTTTGTTTGCGATTGGATAAAAAATGAACAGGAATTAATATTAACGACATGCCACGTTCAAGGATGCCACAAAGTGAAAGGCGAATCGAAAGTCTGGCTGTCCAGTCAGCGATGATAACGTAAACGAAATGTATATTCCCAACAACCAGGAACAGGACTCGTTTTTCACGCGATAATGCAACGCCGCCGTCGTCGCCGCAGATCTTGAAGAAGAATTTGCAATAAGAAATAATTCCGGTTTCTCAACTCTTGTTCCTTGTTGTGCTCTTTTTTTTTGCCGGTCCTTCGTCTCCCGTCTTCATCATCGGTGGTGGATCCAAAGAGCAACATCATCAACAACAACAGCGGTGGCAACGTCGTCGAAAATAGTGCTGCGAATAATAATAACAATGCAAATAACCCGTCAGCCACTGCCGTAGGAAGAAATCCGTCAATTCTGCTGGCGCTGGATTCTGTGCATCGGTCGCTGTTGCTGAAGAATTTGCAGTTCGATCAAGGTGAGTGGATACATAACAATGTTTGGGGGAGGGGATGGTGGGGAATGGCAATTTATTTGGTGTCTCCTCTTTTTCGCTCTGGGTGAGCATTGCGGGCAAACACCTTGTCTCATTTTTTTACCGGCTTTAATTTCCATATTAATTTTTATTGCTTGTGCCTCTTTGGTCATAAGCTTGCGATGGAACTGCCAGCAAATATGGACTTGTAGTTGGTATGTAATCAAGCTGTGCACGTTGCTTTGCTCTTTTTGCGTGATTTCGCTGGATTCGAGTTTCTTTTTAACGTTGTCATCCTACCTATATAACTTTGGGAATTATCGCCAGCATCATCAACTCGGAGGTCGGCTGGTAGCTAATACATATGTGTGTGTGTGTGTGTGTGTGTGTGTGTGTGTGTGTGTGTGTGTGTGTGTGTGTGTGTGTGTGTGTGTGTGTGTGTGTGTGTGTGTGTGTGTGTGTGTGTGTGTGTTGGTAGGATATGCAAAAGACAACACAGGAAAATAAGCCGGCAATTTGTGATAAACTTTTATTCGACTTGGATGGGAAAATGCTTTTTAATGGCGATGTTTTAATGGTGCAGTTCAAGCCTCACAAACAGTAGTTGATGGGAATTTTTTTTTGCTGGAGGTATCATTTTTTTTGCTATCTGGATCGTTCATCGTTATTTTGGGGGTAAAGAAGTTTGTCATTTTGTCAATTTTGTCGAAACTTTTCCGAACTTTGTTTGGACCATCTCTAAACCTCACACGGAATACCGTGAACTTCTTGGATGTTCTGAAGTTCATTCGGAGCTGCCCTGAAGTTTGCTTGGGATTTCTCCGGACAGCGCTTGGAAGTCTAATGAGACACATCCAGAACATTCCTGGAATTTCGTCAGAACATCCCTGGAGTTTGTTCGGAACTTACCTCAACACTTTTCTGAACTTCCCTACATATTTCCCACAGACGATAACGTGCATAATATTCGTTCACCTGTCACCGAAACATTGTATGCCGATCCACAGGATTATTTTGGTTGTGCAATGGCGAATAACCCGACAGGATGTGTAAACAATGGGTGCTATCCTGATTCAATTGACCCTGCAATTAGATTTAAAAAATTTCTGTCGAGACTCAAGAAGTACCTTCCTTGACTTTTTTTGTAAACCGCACATGATTATGATTGTCGGTGAAACCTTTGATCAACCTTTGAGGATCTTCGCGATTGTCGTCTTCTTCCACTCTATCTCGTTGAGTAGTGTGGGAAACCGTCATTTACGCATATGCAAGCAGAATGCTCAGATCAACTCGCTTGAGAGTGTTTCTTTTGTATGATTTATGTATTCATCACTTATATACACCTTACAAATTGAATTTATTACCAAAACGCAGAAAAAAAAAAATAGATGAAGACATCCAGGAGCAAAATTTGCATACTCGTTGGAAAGCTTGTCCATACCGTTGACCTAAACCATAAATAACTGAAAAGATGCCAATGGACCAAAAGGCTTCCATCGAACGAAAAAAGGTACCCATTGTTGACGAAAGCAACCGAGGAATGAAAAAAAAAACAAGATCACGCTGGAAGAGCAAACAGGTTGTTTGCATTTCGACGACCAACGAATGAACGAACGGGTTCGGATCGAAGCGATGCTTTCTGAACCACATTACAAAACCTCACCAATCATATTTACGTGTGCACATCGCCGCGCTCCTGTTTGCCTAATCTCTTAGCAGGTTTCGTTTCTTGGGCCATCGGAAATCCAGAGCACATTCTACGATCGGGGGATCGATTGAAACCGACGACACGACCGCACACACTTTCGAGCGCAGGAAGCGACCGTTGATTTTTCTCACACCATTCGACGAGGCCGGCATCACATTTTAATGTTGAAATTTGAGTTATGTTTACTCGCCCTCTGTTTGGCTACATGTATTTATTCAATCGATACCACCGAGCAATAAGAACCAGCAGTAAAGCACCACCGAAAAGGGGGAAACAAATCCAGAGGCATAATTGATAACAAAATCCCAATTCGATCCCTACTGTCGTGGTGGAAATGGAACGAATAAGCGGATCGAGAAACTCTCGGTTAAAACGGTGTTCGCTTGGGAGTCTGTTTCCAACTTTGTATAGATTAGAAGATAAGAGATTACAAGCGCAACAACGATACTGCTGTACGAGCGACTGCCGAAATTGATTGCACTCAAAGAGAAATCATTGCGATGAGTGACTAGCACTAGCAGATGGCGTTGGCAAGTTGTGTGCTATTGATCGAGTTATGGATTTCATGCTTTCAAGTTGATCCGTGTAGAGGCAAGTGGACGAGATAAGATAATTTTCGGGGCGTATGAGTTGAGCTGTCTGGTCGGTTTATGGTTTATGGCTTTCTGATTGCAAGTGGATTGGTTTCCTGTAGTATTATGCTTTTCATTGAGTGTCGAATTGAGGTTATACAATTCAAGCACAACGTGTGTTTGTAGATCGAATATACTTGATTCTAGAGACCTGCATTCCAGATAATCTTCACGCCAATGCTACGAATTACGTGACGCACAATAAATAATTATGCTGATTGAAGGCTGAAAAAAAAAAATAATCCAGATTCTTGATTCCGTTATTTAACGTCGGTCTTTGTCCCACAATTGAGTGCCAATAACCGACGGACATCGATTGCCATCCATTGATGACAACTGAATGCCAGGGAGGCGGTTTCCACACCTAGGTAGATATCACATAGGTCGGGACCAACGGCTTTACTTGCCTTCCGAAGAAAGACGATATTTTCGACTCAGAAAAATCCCAACGGCCTGGGTTGGGATTGAACACACTGGGGTGAGAAAGCAGTCATGCTGTACCACTAAACCACCGGCACCGTCTGAAAAGTCAATCCAGGGTCTTGTCCAATTTTGAAGGATATAATCGTTAGATTATCTTTTCCTTAGGTTTTTTTTTTAAACTAAGCCAATTTCAAAATAAATTAAATTTCATTTCAACCCAGGTGCTCCAGCTACTAAAGTAACTTACCAGCCTTAATGTTATATGTTATATCACGGAGATTTCAAAAACATAAAAAATGCGAAAATTTAGCTAAGTTGATTAGATAACATCAACGAAGTTCCATTAATTAAAAAAAAAATGCTAGAACTTTTAGCAAGCAGCGATATCTTACAGAAATTCCAAAAAACTTTTAATAAGTTTAGATATTTTTAGATACTTTCATTATATTCAGCGAAGTTCCGAGTACTTCCAGGACGATCAGATAACTACAGAATAATCGCAATCGAATCGAAAATTCTATGATTGATCCGAAAACGTCAGGAGCGTCAGGAAATTATGAATATCAATCAGAACAATTTCCGGATTATTAAACAAATTTAGAGAACTTCAGGTAAACAGGGAACGGGAAAATTAGTGAGCGTTTATTTATAATACTTAAGGAAAATTGTCGAAACTTCAAGGCAAATCAATTAAAGTTGCGGGATCTTAAAAAAAGCTTTCATCGTGATGGGCGAAATGCAGAAGCGCGTGATCGGTTGGTGGCCGATCGACAAAAGAATGTGCAGGTTGAGGATCAAGGGCCGATTCTTCCACTTTAGCATAATCAACGTGCACAGCCCTCACTCCGGAAGCACTGATGATGACAAGGACGCATTTTACGATCGCTGCCCAAGCCACGACGTCAAGATCATCATAGGAGACCTACACGCTCAGGTAGGCCAGGAGGAGGAATTCAGATCGACGATTGGAAAGTTCAGCGCCCACCAGGAACGGCCTACGACTCATCGATTTCGCCGCCTCCAAGAACATGGTCATACGTAGCACCTTTTTCCAACACAGCTTCCCTTATCGTTACACCTGGAGATCACCACGCAGTAGACGGAATCGCAAATCGACCACGTTCTGATTGATGGACGGCACTTCTCCGACATTATCGACGTCAGGACCTATCGTGGCGCTAACATCGACTCTGACCACTACCTGGTGATGGTCAAGCTGCGCCCAAAACTTTCCGTCATCAACAATGTACGGTACCGACGCCCGCCACGGTACAACCTAGAGCGACTGAAACAACCGGATGTCGCCTTAGCATACGCGCAGAATCTCGAGGCAGCGTTGCCAGAGGAGGGTGAGCTCGATGTGCCCCCTCTAGAGGACTGCTGAAGTACAGTAAAAGCAGCCATCACCGACGCAGCCGAGAGCACCATCGGGTACGTGGAAAGAAGTCGACGGAATGAATGGTTCGACGAGGAGTGCAGAGCGATTTTGGAGGAGAAGAACGCAGCGCGGGTAGTAATGCTGCAGCATGGAACCCGACAGAACGTGGAACGGTATAAACAGAAGCGGAAACAGCAGACCCGCATCTTTCGGAAGAAAAAAAACGCCGCCTGGAAGAAGTGGAGTGCGAGGAAATTGAACTGCTGTGCCGTTCCCAAGAAACACGGAAGTTCTACCAGATGCTCAACGCATCCCGCAACGGCTTCGTGCTGCGAGCTATAAATGTGCAAGGATAAGGACGTGAGGTGATTGAAAGGTGGAAGCAGCACTTCGATGCGCACCTGAATGGCGAGGAGAGCGTAGGCACGGGAGACCAGCACAATGGAGGAAACGACTACGTCAGTGCAGCAGAGGACGGAACTGACCCAACTTCCACGCTGAGGGAAGTTAAGGATGCCATTCAGCAGCTCAAAAACAACAAAGCAACTGGTAAGAATGGTATTGCAGCCGAACTCATCAAAATGGGCCCAGAAAAGTTGGCCACCTGCCTGCACCGGATGATAGTCAGGATCTGGGAAACAGAACAGCTACCGGAGGAGTAATCTGTCCCATTCACAAGAAAGGCGACCATTTGGAATGCGAGAACTTCAGAGAGATCACCATTTTGAATGCCGCCTACAAAGTGCTATCCCAGATCATCTTCCGTCGTCTATCACCTAAAATGATCGAGTTCGTGGGAAGTTATCAAGCCGGCTTTATTGACGGCCGATCGACAACGGACCAGATCTTCACCGTACGGCAA